AAGAAGTAGGCTCCCCACTGAGCAGGGAGCCCAACACGGGGTTCGATCTCAGGACCCTGGGATCATGACCTGAGCCGAAGGCAGATGCTTAACTGACTGAGCCACCCAGGCGCCTCAATTATATTAAATGTAAATGAATTAAACTCTCTAAAATCCAGAGATTGGCAGAATGGACAAGACAATATGATTCAACTATATGCTGTCTACGAGAGTTTCATTTTAGATTCAAAGACACAACTACAATGAAGTCAGAAATCAGTAACAGAAGGAAATTTGGGAAACTAATAAATACCTGGAAACTAGATAATACATTTCTAAATAATAAACAGGTAAATAAAGAATTGACAAGGGAAAATAGGAAATACTTTGTTGTTTGGTTTTTTTTATTTTTTATTTTTTTAAGATTCTATTTATTCATGAGAGACCCAGAGAGAGAGGCAGAGACATCAGAGGGAGCAGCGGACTCCCTGAGGGGAGCCCAATGTGGGACTTCATCCCAGGACCCCAGGATCATGCCCTGAGCTGAAGGCAGATGCTCAACCACCCATCCACCCAAGCGCCAAACACTTTGAATGAAAGAAATTGAAAATACAAGACTGCAGAGAAAATACCATCACTTCCTCAATGTTGACGCAGATGTCTTGAACTGCTTCTGCTTGATAATCTCTTTCCTAGGTCTGGATAGGTGTTCTGGGCACTGATTCACATTTACCTCTTGCTTATTTTATGTCCCTCTGGAAACACAATGTCTGAGGGATGAGATGGTTTTATTAGGAGTGCTTCAAAGTTTGTCTTTGAGCCAGCTGCCCCAAAATACAGGAAGAAAAAGAGGACAGAATTGAAGGGGAAAATAGGTTTTCTCTGCCCTCTTCAGGCCTCTTTCATTGTAGATTAGACATCTTGTGTTTCATAAAAGAAGGAGATGTATTAACCAAGAGCCTCTTTGAAGTTGTATGCCTTTATATTTTTTAACAAGGGCTTACCCTCCTAGCCAAGCCTCCCTTTTCTACTGGCTTCTGGGTAAAGTCAGTAGGTAATTAACAGCCCCAGCACAATGCCAGGGACCTGGGAATGACTCCAGATGGAAGTGCCATCCTACCAGCATGGCAAGCAGAGCTGGGATCTACCACCAAAGGCTTATTTGCCCTTTTTGTTTTTTTATCTAATTTCAGTTCCAAAGGGGGAAAAAAAGGACAAATCTCTTTATGAATTTAAATCCACAGGCTTCCTTTTAAACAATTAAGTGCCATTTTTATAACTAATGGAATATTGTCTTAATAATAATAGGAATCAGAACACAGTTGAAAGGAGAATCACTTGTTCATAGCATATAATTGTATTCAGTATTTCAGGCTACAGGGCAGCTTGTCAGTCTTTATTCCAGCCCCTATAGGTTTTGTTTTAAGAATCTGAGAGGAGAGATCATGATGCATTACTCTGATGTGAAATAAAACCCATCTGGCTTTTGGCATGCCCCCATTTCCCAGACAGATGGATAATGTGTTGAGCTGAAAGTAACTGCCTTTATAATATTCATATCTGCTCAAGGATGTCTCAAAGATCAGAGACATAAACAAACATGGGTCATATTTTTCTTGGCTGATAATCTCATCCAGATACAACTTTAGAGCAGGGGTTCTCAGTGTGGTCCCCAGACCAACAGAATCAGTATCATGAATCAGTACCATTCCTGTTAGAAATGGAAACTCTCAGACCTTACCAAGACCTGCTGAATTAGAAACTCTGGGGGTGGCACACAACCATCTGCATGTTAACAAGCCCTCTGGGGGATGTTCACTCACGCTCAAAGGTGGAAACCACTGCTTTAGAAAAATATAACCATATTTCTAAGAAAGAAGAGAAAACATTAATGCTTTATGATTTTTAAAATATCTATTATGTATTAAGTACTGTTCTCCCAGTTTTCAGGGGTACTTCAGAAGTCTCCAGAGGAGTGAGGGAAGCTAAAGGTGGGAAGCTTGCTGTAGGCTGACTGTTGCCTTGATAGTGGCAGGCAGGCTGCTTCGAGTCTCCACTTGCTAGTGGCCAGAGAGAAAGGCAGACCCAGTAGAGGAACACTGCTTCCTTCTTCCCCAAGAAGCTGATAATCCTATTATGTGAAATCTCTCTGTTGAAATGTTGAAAAATTGGAAGCCAAATTTTATTTATTATTAAAAATTATTGAAAATCATTTTTTTAAAAAAAGAACAGCTCTGTTGAAATATAATTACCACACAATTCACTCTTTTTTATTTTGTGTTTTGTTTTTTTAAGATTTTATTTATTTATTTATTTATTTATTTATTTATTTATTTATTTATTTATTTGAGAGAGAGCATGAGCAGGGGGAGGGGCAGAGGGAATAGGAGGGAAAGAATCTCAAGCACACTCAGTGCTGAGCCCTGAGCCCCACGTGGAGCCAAGATCATGACCTGAGCCAAAATCAGGAGTCCAACATTCAACTGACTGAGCCACCCAGGCACTTCCAATTCACTCTTCTGAGTGTATAATTTGATGATCACTTGATGAATATTTGGCTGTTTCCACTCTTTGCTATTATGAGGGATGATGTTATGAACATTTGTGTACAGTTTTTGTGTGCACTGTGTTTTCATTTCTTTTGGGTATATGCCTGTGAGTGGTATTGCTGGGTAACCCTGTGTTAAATATTTGAGAAACTACCCAACTGTTCACCACAGCAGTTGCACCATTTTACATTCCCAGGACTTGTGTATGAGAGGAATATCCAGTCCACATCCTCACCAACACTAGTTATTGTCTGTCTTTTTAATTCTAGGCATTCCAGTGGGCAGAGAGTGCAATTTTTTAAAAGATTTTATTTACTTATTCATGAGAGACACACAGAGAGAGGCAGAGACATAGGCAGAGGGAGAAGCAGACTCCCTGTGGGGAGCCCAATGCGGGACTTGATCCCAGGACCCTGGGATCATGACCTGAGCTGAAGGCAGATGCTCAACCACTGAGCCACCCAAGTGCCCCCAGAGAGTGCTATCTCATTGTTGTTTTGACTTGCGTTTCCCTAATGACTAAATGATGTTAAGCATTTTTTCAAGTACTCATTAGCTAGTCACACATTTTTTTAAAAAAAGATTTATTGATTTATTTAAGAGAGATAGAGCGAAGGCAGCCCAGGTGGCTCAGGGTTTTAGCGCCGCCTTCAGCCCAGGGTGTGATCCTGGAGACCCAGGATCAAGTCCCCAGTTGGGCTCCTTGCATGGAGCCTGCTTCTCCCTCTGCCTGTGTCTCTGCCTCTCTCTCTGTGTCTCTTATGAGTTAAAAAAAAAAAAAAGAGTCAGATGCTTAGCTGACTGAGCCACCGAGGAGCCCCAGCTAGTCACACATTTTTGCAGAAATATCTATTCATATTATTTGTCCGGTTTTTAAAATAATTTTTAGAAGATTTTATTTTTTTATTCATGCGAGACACAGAAGGCTGAAACATAGGCAGAGGGAGAAGCAGACTCCCTGCGAGGAGCCCAATGTGGGACTTGATCCCGGAACTCTGGGATCATGCCTTGACATGAGCCCAAGGCAGATGCTCAACCTCGGAGCTACCCAGGCGTCCCCATCTCTCCATTTTTAAATTACATTGTCTTTTTATTATTGAGTTGTAAGAGTTCTTTACACTGTTTGAAGTAAGTCTCTTATCAGGTATATGATTTGAAAATATTTTCTCCCATGCCATGGGCTGTCTTTCACTTTCTTGATGGCATCCTTTGAGGCAGAAAAGCTTTTAGCTTTGATCCAGTCCTATGTATCTAATTTTTTTCTTTTGTCACTTATGCTTTTGATGTCATGTCTAAGAAACCACTGCCTAACTCAAGGTCATAAGGATCTACTTCTACGCTTTCTTCTAAGGGTTTCGTAGTTTTGAATCTTTACACTTTATTCTTGTTAACCCTTCAGGCTACTCAAAATAAATCTCTCTGTGGATAGCGCTTTTGGTTGTAGACTAACCAATTGTCAAAGCTTGCCTGGGACTCATGGCATCCCACGACTTGGAACTTTCAATGCAAAACTCAAAGTCTTGGGCAAACTAGGATGAGTTGGACACACTACCAATGGACCTCCAACTTGCCATCTCTAATAGAAATCATTACCCTTGCTCTTCAGGGATTAAAATAGATACTGAATCCTATTCACCTGAATGAAAAATCAGTTTGCTTCCAGTTTAACAAGCATGTATTGAGTTTACACAATGCTAAGCCCTGGGGTTGAGTTTAGAGAGGGTTATTAAATTCCAATTTCAGTGTACATAAATAAAGTTTTATAGTTCTAGGCCCTTGGGAGTACATCAGCAAAACTTGCAAACCTTTATGGAGCTTAAGTTCTAAAGAAGGCAGACATTCTAGCTGGAGGAAGATGGGGAAACCATAGATAGGGGAGGATTTTGAAGGCAGGGATTTAGTTTTATTAATCTTTGATTTCCCAGCGTCAGAGCTGTAGAAATCACTCAATAATACTTGCTCACTGAAGGAATGAATGAGTGATCTTTGGCCTTCTTATACTTATATATATATATATTTTTTTCTGGATTCACTTCCCTTAGACCAGACAGCTCCGTGATGACAATGACATGTCTAACTTGCTTCACATATGCGCAGTGCATATCACAGCGCCTGCCATACAGTAGGCGCTCAATAAACATTTTAAATGCATGCATACATCTTTGCATTTTTCATTCCCTTCGTTTGCTACACCAGCCTGGGTGTCAAGAATATCACGCCGATGTCAACATTAATGAATCCCCACAAATAAACATTTAGAGAGGCGTTGTCAACCAAAGAGTGCTCATTGGTACCTCGACAGCCATTTCACAGGCTGGTGCGCCCTATAGGCACCCAGGACAACGTCGCCAACCACAGAGAGCCTGTAAATTCCTCTAAGCAGAAGGGCTCTCCCCGCCCCCTCTCGCCGCGCGGCTCGCCCTGCCCCCGGCCGCCTCCTCTCCGCCCACTCTCCCGGCGGCGGCGGCTTTGTCTCGTGGGCTGGTCCGCGGCGGCTCCCTCCCCCGAACAGCTGCCGCCGCGGGAGGACGCGGCGCGGGAGCTGTCCGGCACCCCGGTGCTGAAGCCCCGGCCGCTCGTCCTCCACCAACACCATGTAAGGGCCATGAAAAGGGCTCGTCCTGGCGCAGCGCGGACATGGAGGAGGACTTATTCCAGCTAAGGCAGCTGCCGTGAGTCTCATGGGGGCGAGGGAGAGGCAGACAGGCTTTCCTTTAAAAAACGAGACCCTGCAGGGGGGCATCCGTGCATGGCTTCTTGAATTTAAAAGGAACTCTTTGAGAGGCAAGACTTAGGCCCTGAGCAGACAAGCCATTTTCCTGCTCCAGCAGTCCAGCCTCTGTATCTCTGACTCAGTTCTATTTTTCAGATCCGTCAGAATCTTCAGGGGGAGCGAGAGGGGTTATGTTTCCCCCTTTTAATTGCTCGCAATCCTAAAGGGAAATTTTGAGGTCTGTGTTTTAAGAAAGCGTTAGCTGCTGTTTTGAAATGTGGACTGAATTGATGAGTCCATGCAGTGACATCGGTTTTTCCCAGCCTTTTCTCCCATGCCGTGAAATTCCTAATTTTTCTGCAAGGTCTCCTGGAAGGGAACGGTACTGATGTTGCAAAGTGGTTTCTAAAAAAGCCAGAATGCCTTCCTAGAGGGGAGGTTTGGGCAAAGTATTGTTGTTTATGAAGTGTGTGAATGAGAGGGCTGAAACCTCTTGCCTTCTTCTGAATGAAAGGTTTTTGTAACAGCTAGCTAGAGTGAGACTCTGTCGATGGCTATCCTTGAGAACATCAGGAATACAAAGCTAGAGGATAGGAATTTTTAAGGGATATCAAATTTGCTCTCAGAATCTTGGGGAGCACAACCAAGCAATGGAAAGGACAGAGGCCACGTAGAGGGGCTTACAGATGCCTCCTACTACAAGCCAGTGATTTGTTAAGCCGATCTCCAGACTACGAGATATGGGCACTAATGGGGATTTTTGTTTTAATTTTTAGAAGCAGTAGCCACTTGGATGGTAAAAGTAGGCACTGTCTGGATTGTTGGAAAGGATACATCATTGTTAGTGTATGTATATTTTCCTGACTTAAAATATTTTCTTCCTCTCTGAACCATGGAGAAATTCTCCCAAGTGACTTTTAGTGTGACAGATACAGCTCTCTGAGGCTGTGAATACTGAAGGGTATTGTTAATGTTTACTTCTCAATTGGAGTAAAATTAATTTTCATTTAAAAATTTTAATTAAATTCTACTTTTAAGTTTTTATTAATTGATCCACAAATAGCATATCTTATGTAATACAACATTATTTCACAAATGCCAAAGGATGTTCAGTTACAATATCCAGAGGTCGATGTATGAATACATAAACATATACATATCTGAGTGTAAATCTCTCGAGGGAAACCTGCCACTTTCGTTGAAAATAAATATCATGTTAAAAAAAAAAAACAACCTATTATCTCAAAATAAAAAATAATGCAGAAACTGAAATATGAAATCTGGTATTTAGAATAAGAATATAGTACATATTGGAACTGCAGTTTACTGAGATAAATTTTCAAATAATGTCACAGCATGTGAACTTTACAGATTTACTCAGAGATTCATGTATATTTAATCTATTCAGGTATAGATATGACACTATTGTGACAATTCCTCTCTGGATTAAAAAGAAGATAAAAATAATAAGAGGTTTTTATTTATTTAAATTTAAAAATTAATTTAGTTTTTTATACTAATGTAGAATAAACTAATATAATCTATACATAGGGTTTAAAAGTTCAAAAAGAAGTACAAGAATAAAAAGTAATCTGTTCCTTAACTGCAGGTCAAATTTCTTGATTATTCTCTCTGATACTTTAACACATAAATACACATGCTATCTGTTAGGCCAAATTGTGTACTGGCTAAGAGTATCGGCTCTTGAGTAAGACAGACTTGAGTTCAGATCCTGGCTTTGCTACTTTTTGGTTGACTTTGAGCAAGTGCCTTAACCTTTTTAAGACTGAGTTTCAGGGATCCCTGGGTGGCTCAGCGGTTTGGCGTTTGCCTTTGGTCCAGGGCACCATCCTGGAGTCCCGGGATCGAGTTCCGCATCAGGCTCCTTGCATGGAGCCTGCTTCTCCCTCCCTCCCTCTCTCTCTCTCTCTCCCACTCTATGTATATCATGGATAAATAAATAAAACCTTAAAAAAAAAAAAGACTGACTTTCCCTCACCCTAAAATGGGGCTCACAATAGTCCTTGATTCACAGAGTTACTCTAATGATCAAGTGAGATAATGTGTGCTGAATGCCTGGTAAACAAGGCATTCAACATATATATTAACTAATATTATTATTACATCTTAAAAATTGTTATAAAAATATATAGGCTCCCTATTCTGGAATCTTCAGAATTGTAATCTGCAATTTGAATGGAGTCAAAATTAGCCCTGAAATGTGTTGACTTCTATTTATAAAAAAGGAGTGAAATAAAAGGAATAGCCACGTGAATTTGAGTGGGTTACAAGTCACGACTTAGATGTTTTTTAAACCACACCCTGTGTATATTGTGCACAGATTGCAGGCAGCAGATTTCCTGAGAGCAATATGGTTTTTTTTTTTTTTTAAATCAGAATGCCTTGTAGAGGGTTGGCAAGAGTGGACTTTGGAACAGGCTCAGTCCTATGGGAAGCCAAGTGTTAATAGATTATAAGCCACTAAATAGTTTATAGGGTTTGAGGAGGGGGAAAAGGGATGAGAGTGCCTAAGAAAACAGTCCCTCCTTGCACTTGGAAGCTCCTTCATACAGCTCTAGGATGATTCCTTTCAGGCCCCAAACAACCTCTGCTTTTCTCCTGCTGTCCATTTAGGCACATGTACAGGAGATTCCAGAGGCTAAGATTTTATATCTAGTTCTGCCTTATTGTGTGATCCTGTGCAAGTCAGACTTCTCTAGGTCTCTCCTTTCTAGGATGATTTCTTTTTTCTTTTTTTTTTTTTTTAATTTTTTATTTATTTATGATAGGCACACAGTAAGAGAGAGAGAGAGGCAGAGACACAGGCAGAGGGAGAAGCAGGCTCCATGCACCGGGAGCCCGATGTGGGATTCGATCCTGGGTCTCCAGGATCGCGCCCTGGGCCAAAGGCAGGCGCCAAACCGCTGCGCCACCCAGGGATCCCCTCTAGGATGATTTCTTGAAAGCAACTTTTGTAGACTACATTGGTTGATTGGTTGATTGATTTATTTTGTTCATTTGGACACCATCCTAGGTACAAGGGATTCTACAACTGAATAAGATAGGTATAATCCTTGCCTTCAAGGAAGTCACAAGTTGGAGCTGCAATGTCTAATATGGTAGTCACTAGCCATATGTGCCTATTTAAATTTCAACTTAAATTATATAATTTGTATATAAAATCATTTCTATAGTATAATATACAATATAAAATATAATTTAGAAATAAAATATGTGAAAAATCATTTTCTCAGTTGCACTAATCACTTTTCAAGTGCTCGATGGCTACATGTGGCTAGTGGCTACCATGTTGGACTGCACAGATCTAAGAGATTTCTGTAACTGCAGAAAATTCTATCAGACATTACTGGTCTGGTGCTGAGAAAGGTAGACATTGAACACATCACTGCACAATAATTATGAGAATTGTTTTAAGGGCTGCAAAGGACAAGCACAGGGTGCAATGGGGGAAGGGGAGAATCAGTGAAGGTTTCCATGAGGGAGTAACATTGACAGTTGAGCCCCCAGAGATGTGTAGGTGTAGGTCATCCAAGGAAAGAGATGGGATGAGGAATATTATGGACAAAAGAAATAGTATAGGCAAAAGCACTGTAGTGGAAAAAAGTATTGTGTCTCAAAATCAGGTCAGTGGAGGGAACATAATAAACTAGTGGCTTGAGGGAGGCTGCACAGGATGACAAGGACCAGGCCATATGGAGCCCCATAGTATGTGACAATGAGCTTGAACTTTATCCTGTGTTTGCCCAATCCATTCTCTATCTCCCTCCCTTCTCATAAGCTTTGTTTTCAAGATTAAACTTAAGTCCACTACCTCAATGAATCTCCCACTGACTTCTGCGGGGCATAACTGGCAGCAAGGGTCAAAATGTGGGCTCTGAGGCAGGTAAACCTGGGTTTAAAAATCTGGGTGGCCTTAGACTAGTGACTTCATCTCCCATGGGCTGGGTGTTCCTCCATAAAGTCATGATAATGGCAGTATCTACACAGCAGGGCAGTTGCGAGGATCAAGATAGTCATTATTGGGAAGTTCTTAGGACAACACCTGGCTCCAAGTAAGGGTTCGATGAAAAGTGCTGGTGTTATTTGTCTCCCTCCATTCTAGATTTGTTTCCCTTAACCTCCAACATCACCTGGAAGCCAAGGCCTCCTTTTCAGAACACTAAGAAAATGTTCCCCAAAGGGGGAGAATCCTGGCCTAGGAGAAGAGATAGGGGTTCACTATCATTTTTACTTAAGGCAAAAAGCAAAGAGTTATTTTTTTTTTATAAATTAATTTTTATTGGTGTTCAATTTACCAACATACAGAATAACACCCAGTGCTCATCCCGTCAAGTGTCCCCCTCCGTGCCCGTCACCCATTCACCCCCACCCCCCGCCCTCCTCCCCTTCCACCACCCCTAGTTCATTTCCCAGAGTTAGAAGTCTTTATGTTCTGTGTCCCTTTCTGATATCTCCCACACATTTCTTCTCCCTTCCCTTATATTCCCCTTCACTATTATTCATATTCCCCAAATGAGTGAGAACATACACTGTTTGTCCTTCTCCGATTGACTTACTTCACTCAGCATAATACCCTCCAGTTCCATCCACGTTGAAGCAAATGGTGGGTATTTGTTGTTTCTAATGGCTGAGTAATATTCCATTGTATACATAAACCACATCTTCTTTATCCATTCATGCAAAGAGTTATTTCAATCACCTAGGGATCCTCAAGGTCAACCCACCAAAACCTTTTAAAACCTTAAGCTCAAAGATGTTCACACCTCATCATTTCAAACACATGCCAGCCTCACCTCTAGGGGATATGTGTTTTAGTGACTTAAGGGGAAATATCTGAGAGCCAAAGAAAGAAGGTCCTCTTGCAAAGAAGCCATTGCTTGGGTGACCTTAGGTTATAGGGAGTATCGTCTCACAGTCTGCTGGCCCAGAGAATAGCTT